ATATATATATATATATATATATACCTGACATAAATAATGATGTTGTTGCCTTTAGCCAAATGTAGCTAAATTTAGTACTACCTTCTAATGATGTCATGACAATATTGCAAAGGAAAACTATTGTACTGACTCATATTATTAAGCTCGAATTTTACCCACAAAGTCTTTTAATGGGACAAAATTCATTTACAGAACACTGAACTTGATAAGCTAAATCAAACAAACCACATTTAAATAAATGCATGTGGCTGGTTTACTATCTAAAATCCAAGCCTATAGACTCACATTCTGTTCCTCTTTCAGACACAGAGCTGTGGTGGAGTCGCTCTGACTTATGTGGAACCATCATCAGAGAAAAAGCAATCTTCTGGTTTCTCTGTAGCAGCAGCTCTGCTTTCCTAGGATATCTAGACAATCTAAGGATCTCTACTCCAAGACTTTTTCCATTTGCATTCACATCACTAAGAGCAGAGCAGGAGAAATGCAACAGCCAGCCCAGGTAGGTATATGCCTTAAAAATTACAATAAACTAAAATTACAGTAAGAGCTCCATACACTCTAGAGTTCACCGTCAGTTCATTAATACCTGTTGGTCGTAAGTTTTATGGAGTTTTTATTTACATAGCTATTTTTTTTATTTTAGAAATAAACTCCAACTGTCTGGGCCACCATCTCCTCCTTTTTTGTTGTTTCATGGTTCAAAAAATAGTTACAATCTGGGAACTGGGACACTATTAAAAAACACCCATGATTATTTGGGTTTAGGTTAATGCACTGATCTGTTGAACTTCCTTTAACCCCTACAGCTGTTTTGTTAATGCTAATCGATATCCATATAAACAATTTAAGATGAGCTGCAGAAGGGCAGGCTGGGCGGGGCAAGTTCAGGCTGAGACAAAGGGACCGTGACACGAGACTTACGTTAGTCGTGTCAGAAACACTCGTTTATCTGTTGTTTCAGTCAGCTGGAGATGGGGGGGGGGGGGGGGTGTCATTTGAGCAGCAGGTGGGATTCACCCTAGACATGTCACCGGTCCATCAGAGACACTCGAGCTCCCAAACACTCTCTGCTGAGCTCAATTTTCTATCACTAAATAAGTTGTGTGTTTTTGTACTGGGAGGAAAATGGAGTTCCGTGAGAACATGTAGACGTTCAGCAGGAAAAGGGGACGGTCGGTGCAACCGAGGTCTGAACCAGAGCCCTTCTACCGGTTTGGTGGGACAATCACAACGATCTACCGGTTTGGTGGGACAATCACAACGTTCTACCGGTTTAATGGGACAACCACAGCGTTCTACCGGTTTAATGGGACAACCACAGCGTTCTACCGGTTTGGTGGGACAATCACAACGTTCTACCGGTTTAATGGGACAACCACAGCATTCTACTGGTTTGGTGGGACAATCACAACGATCTACCAGTTTGGTTGGACAACCACAGCATTCTACTGGTTTGGTGGGACTATCGGTTTAGTGGGTGTGATGATTCGAAGGATCAACTAAGATAGGCAGATAGTTTGAAACAGCTTTGGCATCAAATGTGGACAGTTTACACTTGGGCTTTTCTTTGAGTCAAGAGCAGCTAGAGGTCCTTTATTTAGAAAAGGAATGTATTAACATCTTTTTGACAGTGTATTGTGGACAGCCTTGTTGACATGAGTAACAATGAGTACATCATGTTGTTCATTGTCCAACAGCATGCAGAGGCAGAGACTAAGTGGGTCATGACCAGACTGTCTAGTGACATAGGATGGCTTGCCCAGCTAGAGGCATAGAGGACCAAAGTTCCTATCATCAAGAAAGTACAGATGATCATCAGCAGCTGTCTGAGCAAGATTCTCCATATCCACTGGCCAGAAACCATCAGCAACAGTGAACTTTAGCAGAAAATGAGTCTGCTGCCTGCAGAAGAAGAAATCAAGAAACGTCGCTGGGCATGGATAGAGCACACCTTATGAAAACCAATAAACAAGATAGACAAGCCCTAAGATTTAATCCTGAAGGAAAAAGAAAAAAAAAGTTGATCAAGAAACACTTGGCACTGAGACCTCGAGGCAGACATCAAGACCATGAGAATGACATGGCTGCAGAAACAAGCCCAGGACAGAGATGCCAAGAGATCCCCTTTTGACAGATTAGTCCCAGGAGGGGTAGCAGGCGATAAGTAAGATGCTTCCTCGAGAATGCCATTCACATCTCAGCCCAGCAAGCATATGCATTTTCCAGCAAGCTCTGGATCTCTGGCATCCAGAGTTGCATGACATTTTCAAAGCTTCTATGGAAATAATGACCTGCAGCTGCAAAGTTCCTCCAAATTTTTAAGTTTTGAAGTAGAATCCTCAAACAGCCCTTTACGTGGGTGGGCATGAAGAAACCTGCTCAGTCCAACGCTCCAATAAATTCTCCTCTGTACTTTAATCCAGGAAAAAGCTCAGCCAGTTTACATCCTGTTGCCACGTAGCTTTGTCCTAGTAACGGCCCACTCGACTTCAACACATAGTGGAATATTTCTGGCTCACCCAGAGTTAGAATCTGACACCAACACAGAGACCTGTTTCTACTGTCTGTAGTGAGTAAGGCTGCAGAGCGCGCTTCATTCCTGCATGCAGCAGTGCTTCGTGTCGTGGGTGCTCCAGTGCTCTAAAACAAAGGAAACGTTGGGTGAATAGTCCACAAGGACACAGCAAGTCAAATAGTGAGAAACTAAATGATGTGAAATAATACCAGCTGCTGCTGCACATCATAATACTGGAATAGAAGGTGTTCCTAGAAGAGCCGAACGTCTGGCTCTTCACTTAGGTTAATTGAAGATGCTGTCTGCCACTTACAGACCGATATCATGAGTCTGTCTCTGCAGCAGAGGCATTCAGAGCAATTATCCGGTCTGTCCAAGCAATATAATATGGCTGGCACTTAATGTGGCAGGGTATTTTGTTGTTGCAAAAGTATATGTGCTGCTTTCATGCTGAGCTTGAAAAAAATCAACTTTGCACACAACATTCCTTCTTTCCTCATCAATGGGATCTTTGTTGCATGCACCTCTAAGACGGTGCAAGACCTTGTGGAAAATAAATAAAAGTGTTTGATATGCAGGACTTTAAAAATGACTACACAGTGATTGCCTTAGAAAATGTTCCAAAGCCTTTTGTTCTCTTAAAAACAGAGTAATATTCATACTTTCTTCCTGGTGGAGAGTCAGATGAGAGAGATAATGAACTCATGAATCCTGGGTAAAACTAAACTCCTTTCTAGGATAAATACAGGAACTATGTGGGCGAACCGGGGACACAGCAAGCCTTGATCTGATGATAAAAAGCCACCTAATAAAAAAAATTATTATGAGATACATCTCCTGTTTGCTTATTCCACACCGAGGTTTATGGAGGGTTGTGTGAAGGACAATTTCTTGGCTCTGGTGCAGAAACTTCACAGATATGGTGTGATAATTAGTCTGCCTCCAAGGTACTTTTGGACAAAAGGTGGCAACTTGTTTCCCTGATTTCTATCTTTTTTCTGTTGAGCTGAATTAAACACCTGCAGGCTCAGCAACAGTAACTGTAGATATACGTCTTAAAATGGTCAAAAAGAAATTGTATTGTGTTGTTAAAAAGCTTGCCTGAGAAAGACATAATAATCCCTGAGGCCACTGCTTTTTTCTGCCCCAAATAAGCTGTACAAGTTGTAAATGTCGTTGCATTATCCTGTTTCAGAACATATTTTTTACCTTCAGAGGATGAGCTTCTGGCTCAAGGACAAATAATATAAGTTTTATCACATTTGGGAGCTCTTTCTGTTTTATATTGCAAAGGACAAAAAATTCCTGAGTGCTTTATGGACTGGGATGGACCGCAATGTCAAAACCCTTTTCATATAATGAATATGATTCCTGCTGCTTTATGTCTAATATCCCTCGTATAATCCTGTTCTTTGTGCTCTTATATATTTTTACATTTATTTGTCAGTTGTGTGTTTATTTAATCACTAGATGAGTCTTTTACTGAGCTCTCTATGTTATTTTATCTCTCCAGAACCAATGAAAATACTTTGCAAATCATAAAAAAAAGTTGTATTTGAATGAAGGCAGGAGGAAAACTATAAAAGAGTGACTGTGTGGACCATGCAGATTTTTTTGGCACTAATCTAGCATGAAATTATGTTTTCTGTCAGAGAAATGGAAGTGGCTGCAACCTGCTTAAGGAGGTAAGTCACTGGGGGCACCTCCACAAAGCTCCACCTGGCTGATGCCTATTGGTGCCGGGCTGAAATGGAGACCTGCCTCCAGGAGGAATGTTTACCCAAGCTTAGCACAGAGCCTTATTGCTCAAAGAAGCATGAGTAGATTTTCTGTCTTGCACCAGCTCTGTGCCATTTCATATGAGGACCTGCACAAAATGAGCCTCCAATCACCTGCGATGACAAGAATAGCTCTTTTAAAGACACAGAGTGGAGAGAAATTAACAGTGTGCAATGAAGCATAAAGCAACTGCACCAGACAGAAGGAATTCAAACAGCAAGGATTCCTGACATTCCTTACAAAAGGAAGCGCACAAGAGGAGAAATGTAGTTTCTTTTTGATCATTTAAATGAAAATTATGAAAACAATAAGCAGGTCTGCAAGTTTCTAACATACATACCGCTTTAAAGCAAAGATATTCACTCTGCTGAGTTAGACATAACTCGATAACATTTAGGTTTTTTTCTGCAGAATGTGCATGCAAATTTCACCCAACGAAGGATGATGATGATCTAACTACTTCCCAACAGCTCTCAGTTTAGCTCCTGTACTGTATCAGTGTGAAGGTTATTCCCTCTGAGTCTTTGAGGTGTCCTACATCACACCGTCTCTGCACAGCCGGCAAAAGCAACTTATCAGCTTTCAAAAACCAAACCTGCAGCTTCGTGCCAAACCATGCATCCTGCAGACGCATGTCATTTGGGTCAAACGGAAACTTTCTCGTGTGTTAGTGCAGGGAGCGCTGCTGGAATGAAAGTAACCTCACCTTGTATGTGCTGGTTCACCACATTCTCCAGACGATCCAGCCGCTCCATGATCCGGAGCGTGTCTCCTCTTTTGTCCCCCTCTAACTTTGCCTCCGGTAACGGCATGGGGACCTTAATGTAGATATTGGCGATGTAGTTAGTAACCCATCCAACATAGAGCAGGCAAACGATGTTGGTCATGGCGCTCAGGATCACGCATGTGGACACCAAAGTTTTGGTTCTCCTGGTGCAAGCCATGCCGACATCCCTCCATGCAGCACCGCCTGGGGTCCTCCCGTTAAACCGCAGCGCAGGGCGGCATCCGCCCTCCAAATAAAAATCTAATCAGTCAGTTAATTCAATTAATAACGAGCCTTTTAACAAAAACGAAGTTGTTTCCGGCGGCTGCGCTGCTAAGAATGATCCTGTGCGCAGCAGGGCATCTACTTCAGAAGTGTAGAATGCGTAAATGTCATTGTTTTTATTCTAAAGGTCCTAAAATACAGGTATAAATGTCAAATATCTACAGGTGAAGGTCCACTCCTCCGCTCCATTGTGAACCTCCGAGAGCTCAGATTCGTTTGAGGGCTGAGGGAAACAGGAGGGACGCGGAGCATCCTGCTGCAGCCAATAGGAGGGAGGATGAGGACTGACAGCCTCCCCGCTGCACGCGCGCTGACGCACGGGTCAGGTCGGACCGCTAACCACAGTGAGGACACAAACTCTGATGTCCTTCTTTTTACGTCCAGCTGAACGCTTTTGTCCGCGTGTGTGTTGTCACACCGTTCATGAAAGGGATAGGATCAGGGGCGTAGCACCAAATTCTGGGCCCTAGGTACAAGTCTTCTAGGTGGGCCCCCATGCTCAATTACTTAATATCTCTCTTAAACGTTTTTTGTCATGCTATAAGACAAGCTAATAAATATGATCTTAATTTACCCTCTATATTGAGCAAATACAAATGCCAGCATAATGAAAGTGAAATGCCCAGACTTCACATATAATTATTTTTATTTGCCAACAATGTGTTCAAACAAAAATCCTGGAATTTATTTTCCAGTAAATGCCCACTGACGGGTCTTCATGTTAGCAAAATCACTTATGAGATCTTTAAAGTCCAATCCTTTGGCTAATTGGCTTTCAATAGAAAGAAGAGCTAGGCTGTTCAGTCTATCCTGGGACATTGTTGATCTCAAATAATTTTTCACCAGTTTCAGTTTGCTAAAAGCCCGTTCACCCCCAGCAACAGTCACAGGTGGTGTGCAAAAATCCTCAGTTTAATACAAACTTCTCCAAAAATACTCTGTAATTGCATCCTGTAGATGGCATTAAGCAGCTCAAGAGGAGACCGAATGTGTGGAAATGTGGCATTGTTCTCAGGTGTAGCATCTCATTCTCAAATTCAGCTGTGAGATCCTTGTAATATTTTCTCATCAGTGCCTGGCACGATATCTTCATCTGCTCTTCAGTCATGTCTGTCATGGTTCATGATGTTAAGCTTTGCTGATATATATTGATATATTGAATACATATGACATGAAATAAACCAGGTTCTCTCTGTGAATGTAATGTACTCTAAATTTTATAATCCCTGCATTATCAGCCAAATTATAAGATTGTCCGTTTTCAAGATCAAATATAAAGAAATTTAAAATAGGCTTAAAATATCTAACCAAGTCAATAACAATCCTCTAAAACCAGTGTCATCATGCTATACGAAAAACAGTGGCAGCTTCACATTCCTGAGATTACCACGAATCCATCGATACCAAGTTTGTCCTGGTCCATGACTGGGAAGGAGCTGAAATATCCACACAGAGTGAACCTGTTTTTACTGCGAGGTCCGCGAATTAATTGGCGGCGGCCGCCCGCGATAATAATTCTGATTAATATATATATATATATTAATTAGTGTTTTCACTGATAACACTAATTAATTTATATTTGATCTTGATGGTGAAACTAAAGGCATTTAACACTGAACACCTAACATGAATGCAGCTTCTGAGAGCTAGCTAATATCAGCTAAAACTGTGTTCTGCTGCTGCTGCTCACCTTCCTTCTACTTGCTTCTGTTCAGTTAACTTTTCCTCCTTCTTCTTCTTTTCTTTTCTTTTCTGGAAGCCAGATTTCCCTTTCTCGGGAAAAGACATGACTGACTCCTGCCTCCAGCTCTGGCTGTCGGCATCTGCGATGTCTCATTAGCTGTACATGCCCCTGGCCGCTGGTGTGGACTAAACCACTTTGCACATTTTTAAGGGGTGATAGATGCCTCAGAGATTATTCAGTTATTATTTTTAAGGCGAAATTCTGTTTCTTAACCTCTTTATCCAGGTAAAGGGAAGTTTACTAAGACATTAAGTAAGTTGGGAGGAAGAAACAACAACAATAAAACATTTTTATTCAAAGCTGTCTCAGGGCCCCTCCCTGCAGAGGGCCCTGGGTAAACGGTACCCTTCCCCCCCCCCCCCAGTCCAACGCCCCTGGATAGGATTAGGAAGCAGTCTGAAGTGGAGGGTGGCTGACCAAGCGTTTGTTTCCGACGCTTAGGGTGTGAGAATGTGTTGTAGGAAGAGGCCACATGAAGAGTCACTGCGCATGGAGCAGCACGTGCAGAGGATGAAGCGGGGCTCTGTGGAAAAGTTATTATCAGTTCTCATCTTACCTGTAGGGCTCTTTGAACAGCCTCGGTTTGGAGAAACAAAGATTAGTCCTAGTCAAACAGACTAACGAACAAGCGGAGTAGTTTGGTGGAACAGCGTTGAGGCAAACGTAAAAAAAACATGTAAAAGTATTAACTATTCAAAATGTATTACAAAAGAGAGATCTTAGAAAATTACTAATTAGAAATGGGAAAAACATTGGCATTGATGGTTTGGTAGGAAGGGTAACCAAACATATTGTGATTGTTATTTTGATTGTTGACTCGATTTTGTTTACGATATAAATGTAGACATGTTTATTTGTATTTTTGAAAAGGTGTCATGGTCCGTGGTGAGCTGCCTGCCTGTAACCCTGTTTTTCCCTTTGAGCATTGTTTCACAGGTAGGCGTGTCTGAGAGCTTCCAGCTGCAGCTGATTCCATCATCAAGGACCAGGGGATTTAAGGAGCAGTGTGACACTTCATCACGCCGGATGATTACTCTGTTTGGGTTCCTCTTCATTTTTCCTCATCTCCAGAACAAACCCGGATCTCAGCATTCCAGAACACACTGCTACCTCCCCTGGCCGCCTGTTCTCAGCCGCTCACCTGCCATCATCCATTCCTGCTCTTACTTCCCTCACCATCTGGATCTCCTCAGCTCTTCCGGAGCTGACCAAACCCTCCCTGTACATTTCACCACTACCAAGAGACATATTTCCTCCTGGAATCCTGCTGTCAGGCCTGCACTTTTGTTCCTGTCTCTCCCTTAGCTCCTAATTTAATAATAAACCTTTTACACACTTGCCGGTTTCCTGTAAAGTGATTCTGCATGTCGTGGGTCAAGAAATTGCCACCCACCATGACAGAATCATCCGGCCAAAATATTGACTCCATTGCAGAATCCAATCCGTCTGTTAACGTCCCGCCTGCTGTTTCTGATACTCTCTCCCGTCATGAACACGCCATCCATAACTTACTGGAACTATTATCTGACTCCCACCAATGGTTACTCCATATGGACAACATGTTACGCAACCTCATCGCTAAGCTAACTCCCCTGGAACCTTCTGTTCAGCAGCCTCCAGTTTCTCCTCCGTCCGCACATCCGGTTCCGTCCCCAGCGATAAACTTCCGGGTACCCAACTCTCTCCCATCAGACTTTTTCCGGTGAGTTCGGTAAATGCCGTGGTTTTTTTATCTAGTTGCCAGTTGGCTTTTGAGAGATCGCCCGAAGAATCTGTTTTAGATTCAGTTAAAATCTCACACATAATCGGATTACACAGAGGCAAGGCTTTAGACTGGGCCGAGGCTAGGAGTCATGACACCGGTTTTCTGCGTGATTCCCTCTCACGGTTTTTAACTGAATTTAATCAGATGTTCGATCACTCTGAGTCCCCAGCTGAGAGCTTTCCGTCAAGGAAAGCAGACCGTAGCCGACCGCTATTGAGTTTCGCACCCTGGCAGCAGTTTCCCCTCTCGATCGTGGCTCACTCCTTGGAGCATTCACCCAGGGATTAAGCGACCGCCTCCAGGATCAGTTGGCGTTATGCCAAGAAACCCACCCCCCACACACACACACACACACACCCCACCCCCCGATCTAGAAGCTCTCATAGCTTTGTCATTAAAAATAGAAAAACGACTCAAGGAGCATTCTAAGGGCTCTCAAATGTCCCATCCACCGCTAACCCAGACTAGAAGCCCTCTACAACTGGTCACAGCACCATCTGGAGACGAGCCCATACAAATAGGCAGAACTAAATTAACCCCAGAGGAGAAGCAACGTTGCTTCACCGCTAACCTCTGCCTCTATTGTGGTCAACCTGGTCACCGACTCTCAAGATGTGCTCTGCGTTTAAAAGGGCAAGCCCACCAGTAGTTCCGGGAATACTGGTGGGTGGTAATGGTGCCTCAGAATCCCGCCGTACTCTTTCCTGTACCATCATGAATAACCAAAGAAGTTGTATGATGAAGGCCCTGCTGGATTCTGGCTGTGAACGTAATATGCTGGATCAAACAGTCGTTCAGAAGCTGGACATCCCCACTATTCCCCTTCCGACTCCTTTGAGAGCATCATCCCTGGATGGCAACACACTCACCGCTATAACCCACCAGACTGTGCCAGTGAACTTACTGGTATCAGGCAACCACCAGGAGAGTATTTCATTTTTTGTGTTTCCTTCCCCACACTCTCCTGTTGTCCTAGACCTAGGACATGACTGGCTTGTTACCCATAATCCCCAAATAAATTGGAAAACGTCCCAGGTTACAGTTTGGAGTCCCCATTGTCTGACTAATTGCCTTTGCTCTGTTTCACCTACCAGTTCTGCATCAACCCCCGATCCACCGGTTCCTCCCGGCATGTCTGGAGTACCGGAGGAGTACCATGACCTCTCCCTCGTCAGCAAGGACCGAGCCTCCTCTCTGCCTCCTCACCGACCGTACAACTGCGCCATCGACCTCCTGCCTGGTGCCACACTTCCATCCAGCAGATTGTATAGTCTTTCCAAACCAGAACAACTCAGTATGTCCACTTACATAAATGAATCGCTAGCATCCGGTATAATCAGACCATCCACTTCACCCCTGGGCGCAGGTTTTTTCTTCGTTTCCAAAAAAGATGGCTCTCTGAGGCCCTGTATAGACTTCAGAGGTCTCAATCAGATCACCGTTAAAAACAAATATCCACTCCCATTACTTTCCTCTACCTTCGAACCGGTACAAGACGCAACTATTTTTACGAAACTGGACCCACGCAACGGGGGTGGGGGTGGGGGGGTGGGGTCTGAGTGACTTTTCATTAACTCTATAAAAGGGCGTTTTAACACATACTGGATCAAGAAAATGATTTAAAAGTATGGGACGTTGCAAAGTATCCCTTTAAAACTTTTAAATTATCAAAAATTTTAAATGTCCTTACTATTCTGCCTGAATTTTTATGAAATAACCAAAATGGCTTGGAT